GCGGATGGTCGTGGTTGAGGTCCGGCGGGGAACACTGGGCGTGGATGGTCGTGGTTGAGGTCCGGCGGAGGACGAGGAGGAGAAGGAGGAGAAGGAGGACGAGGAGGAGATAGGGCTGACATAAAATCTAACCGAACAACCCTCACCTGACAGGTGGGGACTCAACACCACTTGCTCTTTGGCTGCGTTGTTTTGGGGGTTGAGTTGGATATCGCCAGCAGGGCGGCAGGGTGCGGCAATGCTTTTCCAGTCGGGATCCTCTGAACAAGCATGTCGGATCTTTGACAACTTGGGCCCATATGACAAAGAATATGAGATAAACATACAACAACTTCACTCAGTCACATTGATTTTGAATTATGGTATGATTTAGTTTACACTATAAACTATAAACATAGTTTCAGCGGTGTGTGTGCGTGTGCGTGCGTGTGCGGGCGGGAATCACCTGATCCAGCCAACGCGCCGTGTTTTTCGCGAAAGAACTCAGTGGGCCGTGCCCAGGTCTCCAGTCCAGGTCTCCATTGCCGTTGTGGTGGAGGTCTGATTGCATAGCGAGAGTCTTAGTCTTTATATCTATTTTCCATGACCGTTTGGTAGGTTTTCAGGCAGGAAATCTGAGTGGGGCGCCCCGGGTAGACAACTTCACATTGAAAGGTGTTGAAGTCATTGGTAGCCACACCACGCTTTGGACCCCGAACGACCGACTTAGCGCTGCCACCCCGCCCAAACAGCGGCGGAACGGTCAGAATTGCTGGAGCGGCCTTGGGCCGGACTCCCCTTGCACGCACCCTGTTCGTCAGCGCCTTTGCGACGCGTATCGAGCGCTAAAAGAAGACGACAGGTATCAGAGCGACACGCAGAAGGCATGTCTGGCTCGTCTTCCAGCATAGCACTGGGACAATTTTAGGGCGTCCGTCAGGGCAACTGAAGGCTGAGGGTGATGAACCTATCTGCATGCTTCCACCGCTTCACCTTTTGGGCCTCCGATCCTGCCAAACAGCCTCCCGATCCTGCCGGGTCTTCCCGAATGGAAACGCGTTCCACCCGAGAGCTGCTGGGAACAAACATCCGTGAAGGCAGCCTTGCTTTGAGAAGGCAGACACCACACCCCAGTGATGTAAGACTTCTGTAAAGATTCGTATAGTACTGTAGGGGCCAGGGTTTGCTCGGATAAATCATGATAAATCTGTGTTTGGTTGCAAGATGTTGCAAGTATGCCGTTGGAATTCATTGGATGAAAGGACACGACAAAATGTCACATACTGTAATATTTAGTTTCGAGTGTCCTTGCATTCAAACAAAAGGATACTCACCAGTGGTGAATGAAAGCGCTGCCTCTTGCTCACCCTCACAGCACGTGCCCGGTCGGACAGCTGCCCTTGCATGAATTGCATAGGCATTAGTCCCTGCTGCAGGGGCGTATTGAGGTTGGCGGGGCGGGACAAGAAAAGACCACAACTGCCACAACTCCTATCAGCAGCGTTCAAGGCTGAACGATATCAATTGAACGATATCAATGGTTCATAGACTCACCCACTGCCTTCTGAAATCCAGTATTGACTTTGTCTTGGTAGAAGTGTAGAAGGATCTCCTTTTGACAATGTGACGACTAGACTGTCTCAGGGTGTGGCCCAATGTCATTCTTGCTCAGTAGGGATTTGGCTCGTCGCATCACGTGCAGGCCCATACGACGAACCTGAAGGCTGAACAGGAATCTCGTCCCTCTCCCGGTTTTCGGCAGAGAGTCCTCGTGGAACCTGACAATTGAAACAGGTTTAACGGATCTGTATGAGGAAAAAGGCCTCAGTTGATTGGGGTCTACCTTTAGGATGTTTGGTTCGATGTTCATATTCAGAGAATCAACCCTGCCATGTTATGAATTGTTTGGCACGCTTGTCGGGTGAAGATCGAATATGCGACCACAGACAATAGACCAACAGACTCACCATGAGACCCATGTTTGCTGATCCCTATGCTCGCTGATCCGCTACTTGGTCTTTGCTTGCAGATGTGGCTATGGGTCAAAACTTGGTTGACCTGCTTGGCAGGTCGTTCGCTACATGGTGTTGGGGCTCCAGGTTTTGACCCATCCCCATGTGGTCCAGACCTGCACAGTTTCTTTTGTTCGCAGTGTCCTTCACAGCTTTGCCTGGCCTCTTTGCGCTCCTCATGCACTCGGCTGAATTCCTCGAGCATCAGATATGGGGATGGCAGGGGATTTGGAGTGCAGGGGAAGAGATGAGACGCCTGTGTCCAGTCGCAGATGGGGTGATCTCCCTGCCATGCACGGCTCCTTTCCTGTTAAACGTATTCACGCCGCTCCGCGGCAAGGTCCGCCCGCACTGCCATGAAACAGTTGCCCGACAAAAACGGCGAAAACTGTGACCCAAACCAAAATCTGGCCCGCCAGCCGCCCGACAAGACACACGGGAAAAAAGAAACGCGTTGCAAAGCCGAAAATCGAAGACCAAAATCAAAAATACGCTGCCATGGTCAATAGCGAGTCGGATGAGTGATGACATGACGCAATAACGATCATAGAAGGTAATACTCCAGAAGTATGATGAAGTATGCGCTATCTTCATTCATCACCATATATCACAAGGGCTCATCATGCTGCCATTGACGTTACCGAAAACACCACTATGTACCGTATTTTCACAGTGTTTTTATGCTCTGTGAGGCAGCAACCACTGCAAATAGCGATGTTTTTGAGCTTGTCGTGGCCCAGAACACCGCTATTTACAGTGTTTTTGAACCTGCTGTCAAAAAGCACCGCAACTTGCGACGTATTCAACAACATGGTCGCCAAACACACTGCTATTTGCAATTTGCATTTTCGCGCAAAGACGTCAAGCCTCAGCAAAGTACAAAGACACTGCAAACATCAATTTCTGCCCAACAAAAAAGTCGAAAACCGTCACCCAAACAGCTCCAAAATCTGCCCCCCCCCCGGCCTCCCGACAAGACACATTAAAAAATAAACGCGTCGCAAAACCAAAAATCGAAGACCAAAAGTCAAAAAACACAGGTTTGTTCAAAGTTTTCTCTTGCCGGTTCCAGGCGGACGCATGCACAAACTGGTCCATTCGGTGCTGTAAAACAGTGTTCTTTTGAAGTCTGAAGTCCGCCATCGCGACCTATCAAAAACCCATTGTTTTTGACCACAAATGCACGCCCCCAGGTAAACCTGTACCTTACCTTACAGTTGTTTCCGGATGCTCACGCCATCTCACGCCCTGAGCACAATCGGTGCGGGCGGATTTAAAGGTGAGGGTGTTGTTTCAAGACACTGTGTGTTCAACATGGAATGCTTCAAACAACACGCCTTTACAAGCATCGAGATCTTGTGGCTGAAGAAATCGAGATCTTCCCCAGTTTGCGACCTCGGAGTCTCGCCATCCACCTGCTACCCCGAAGCACTTCTGGCAAACCATCCCTGTCCCATGGGGCTTCGAACACTTTTGCGTGACTTCGGTCACCTGCGTGTTGCTCCGATGGCGAAAAAAAAAAGATGTGTGGTTGGCGGTGATGGCAGGGTATGACACCTGGAGCCGTCCACCAGTCCGCCATTCTACCGTGAAGGCCGACGTCAACTGGTCAGTCTTGTTGAGTCATATGCAGAGTTTGTTCTTTCCTGTTGATGTGCGAAGTCGAGGTTCACACATGTAAGACTTCGGGTGTTAGCATGCACTAGGGTGTTCGACATGTGTTCAACAGTTCTGATACTATTGGTATATATCTATCTCCAACTTAAGTGGTCTTCATAGCTAAACCAAACCAGTCATCAGTCTCCTTTATATTAAATATATTAATATCTATTTATATCTCCAGAGTTTCTCGAGAGATGCATATCATCAATCAGGTAGAACCTGGACGTTCCACCATGTTCCTCCTCCCGTCAAACATCACCTTGAAGAGTCACTTGTGCTTTTTCACCAGTTCTCCGAGTGGCGTGGCCCGACCACGCGACGTTTGGCACCAGCATGTCCTGGCACCTGCGGCGAAAAGGACCAAAAGACCCTATAGAAGCTGTCTGATTCAGACAGCATTCTCAAGGTTGTCAGCATCGGGAGTAGCATGTGGATCCATTTAAGTCATGAGGTTCCTCTCGGCCTGTGTGGGGTCAGTCGACCATGGATGTCGAAGTTGCATCTCACAGGAGTTTCAGTTTCAGTGCATGCGGAAGCGGTTCATATATTGTAACACGGAGATCTGGCCCTGAGGCCCTGGCTGGGAAGACTGGTCTATTCTTTGAACCTCATCCTGGGTTTGGGATGGGTGACTCTCTGATCCGCACTGAACCCAGAGGGTTGTTGCGTTGGGATCTTCTTCTGAAGAAACGGGTTCGGCTCAAAGTCAGCTGGCTGACCGTCGAAAACATGTCCCAAGCTGACCGTCAGCGCCGAAGGGCCAATGATCAGAACGTTGTTGAGGTGACTATGTTTAAACAATATGCCAGGATATTTAGGTACGTGCACAACCCTGGAGGGGCAGCCAGTTTTGGAAGATTCTGGATATTTGGCAGAGAGCCAGCTACCTGAGACAGATTCGAGTTCATAGTTGGAAGCTTACAGTAGACATTTTCTTTCGGTCTCATGCAAGGTCATTCTTTCGCCGGTCCAAATTTAACAGATCGTATCAAACAAATCCAGCACCCAGTAATGCAGCGGCAGGTGCCTCAAAACCTGAGGCCACTTACACTCCAGCACCCATCTTCGAACAACGCCCTGCGCTCCTCGCTGTTCTGGAGCCTCGCCGAGTACTGCCCAGCCTGCAATGCCGGCTGCTCCTTGCCATGAGCCTCCTGAGCAGCTTTCGGCTTCCAGGACACCGGTATTCACACCAATCAGATGGCCGTTTGGTATACCCCCAAGTGAAGAACCCAAGATTGGGCCTGTGCCAGTAAGCCTGTAACAGTCAGTAAACAAGAAGATATGACTATTCTTGAACAAGGCCTTCAACCTAAGCATTATCATTATCATCCATGCACTGTTGCTGGTATTAGGATAGACCCAAAACCAATTGTGGTACCAGATCGACCCCAAGACTGACCCCTCTAGGACATTCTCTTTTAAGGACTGGTGGACAGGGGCCGACTCCACCCAGTCCAGACCCCCTTTTTGTGGTTCGCTCGGTTTTTCTGGTCCAAATCTCCCGGAGACTCAATGTCCGTGTTGGTTGAACCAAGTGTGCGGCCGGCCATGTATCAATGCCTGGACGTTCTTCACTTGGAAAAGGATGTATTCAGGAGGGAAATGATTGGTCCTCTTAGGCTTTCGCTCTATAGTGCAACATGCCGGTACCGGTAGTTGCTGGAGTCCATCACCTTCGATCTGATCATAAACTCTACCCTCCAACGAACACATGGAAGTGGAAGGCACCCCCTAGCTTTTCGTTGGTACTCCTTCAAGTCGCCCGCCTTGGAACGTGACGAATGATCCACTTCCATGTGATGCTTTTGGGGTGTGAATTGGTTTGGACAAGGTTTGATGGCCCAGAGGGATGGGGCAGCTTCCCATTGCCATCGACCTGTCGACCCGCCATGCATGTTTGCGGTTCGAACGGGGCGATGGAGTGCCATGACATGTGCATGCTGCATGCTTGAATTGAGTTGATCAACGACCTCACCCAGGCAGTATACTTAGTGAATCTTAGTGAGAACAAACATGGAATCTGTGCTGTAAGGGGTTTTTTATGTGTCTCTTCTTATTTCACATGCAAAGGCATCGTCCTCACGTCCCAGGTGGTGCTCGTTGGTGGTCAGGTCCGGGTCCTCATGCCAAAAGAAGACATCTGGATTTCTCCATCCGAAAGACATCCGAAGATCTCTCCACTTCGGCTCTTGGGCCCTCGTTGCAGTCTGAAGCATGGTCATTTTTTCAGACTCGTCGGTATCTTCGCGAAGCGGGGCCGAACTGCGGGGCCTGCAGGCCCTGGCCGCTTCCTCGCCAACCTCCAGGTGCCGGATTCGGGAAGGCACTGTAATATGGTTCTATAATAATATGGTTTATATATGCATTGGGTTTGTCCTATGAACACTGTTATAACAGTCAGTAACTGATCACTAAGAGAAAGGCCTTGGGTTCTACAAGGGGTCTACCAAGTTTACCTGAAACTGTGTGGCCTGGGACCATAAGGAAATAAGCTTTAGCTTTAGCACTCATGCAGGTACGTGATCCCAGCGTCCCAGGATCATATCAGCCATGGAATGCAGCCCTCTTCGTTGGACAACCAACTGCATCCATGGGGTTGTCCCGGAACAAAAGCAAAATCAACGGATTCCCTATGATTCCGAGGGTTTCACACACTCTGACATTGGTTTTCCGTTAACTCAGTTACCAGGTGAAAGGAAGGCGATGGAACGGAAAGGTGAAAAAAGTCGGCGCACTTGAAAAGTTTAACGTATTGTTCACGTGTTTGCAGAATCGCGCGGCAGCTGAAAGCGGCGGAAGGAAAACACCTGGTGGAGGAAACCTGTTTGTGGGAAGGTATCATGGGCAACCACCATGAATCAAATCGAAAGTGGAAAAGCTTGAGCAACAGTTTCCGATATCCTAGGATCATGTGAGGAGCTTCGTTGGATGGAGCCTCACATGTCCTCTCCATCCCCTGCGGAAAGTGAAATTCAACAAGCAAACCGTGAGGTGGAAACCCTTAGGCGCAGGGGTTGACACACACACACACACACACACACGTGGCCGTCTTCGGCGCACGTGTGATTTTTTCGCAAAAAGCGCTCGCACTCTTTGGCATTGTGTCCCTTTAGGACATATAACTTGACAAGCTCCTCGGCTGCAGCAGCTGCTGTGGGAGAGTATCAAATCAAGTCCTGAAAAGAGCATGGTGTGAAAATTGGTGTAGCTGAGCGAACTGTGATCATGGTGGAGTGCGTGAGACATACTTGCTTGAAAAAAAAGGCGTACTGCAAAGATGGAATCTGAAGTCAGTCAATCTATTCCAAAAAATTGCAATCAGCTCAATCTGAAGGTTGTGCCGTGAAAGCCCGGCGGCATATAAGCAGTTAATTCAGTAGTGAAACTAAAGCTGTTAAGAAGATGCAAGGAATGGTGGAAGAGGAAAAGCTGTTACACGATTGCCGGCATGAATTCAGCGCCCCAGTGACGGGGATCACACTCAGCACCCAAGTGGGACGACTGAGCGGTTCATACTCTGACATTGGTTTTCCGTTAACTCAGTTCCCAGGTGAAAGGAAGGCGATGGAACGGAAAGGTGAAAAAGTCGGCGCACTTGAGCAGTTTAACATATTGTTCACGTGTCTGCAGAAATGCGCGGCAGCTGAAAGCGGCGGAAGGAAAACACCTGGTGGAGGAAAATCATGGGCAACCACCATGAATCAAATCGAAAGTGGAAAAACTTGAGCAACAGTTTCCGATATCCTAGGATCATGTGAGGAGCTTCGTTGGATGGAGCCTCACATGTCCTCTCCATCCCCCTGCGGAAAGTGAACTTCAACAAGCAAACCGTGAGGTGGAATCCCTTAGGCACAGGGGTTGAGACACACACACACACACACTTGAGAGCGACATCGGCGGGGTCACCAAGTCACCCCAGAACAAAAGCTTCAAACATCGGGTACCATTGGGCACGAGAACAAAACAGACACTCGTTTGGCGTTTGGCTTTTACACATGAATCTTTGGGATCCTATGTGCCGTTTGGCGTGGCGCCTTTTTCGATCAACACCATCGAACCACCCGTGAACTCCGGCGCGTGAAATCCGGAGCTGCCCATCTGGTGAATACTAGGTCAGTCGCTCCTTTGGGATCAAGGCGAGACCACCGGGGAAAAGGTGGCGGGAGGTTGCGACCTGCGTCTCAGACGAAAAAGTTGGTACAGATTCGTGGCAGGGTGGTTTGGTGGTGAATGTCCTGTCGGACATGTGCAATTATAATAGATTATATATGTACATATCAGTTTACAATTTAGAGTATACAGTATACAGTATAGAGCTATACTTGTCATGGACTCTTGTCCGTCTTCTCGACATGCATGTGATTGGACAATGGGAGGGCTGCAGCCGCAAAGGAGTCTTGGAAGCACTCATGATCCGCTGAAGGAGACAAATTCGAGAAGGGAATCAGGAAGATTTGACATAGGTTGGGTTGGTGTGTCTCTTCCCTTTCTCGCACAACAACCCGGCTGATTTGACCGAGAAACTAATGCAGAAAAAGAACGCCAAAGTTCACAAAACCACGAGCCACGGCTCCCAGAATCTATCGAACAGTACATTCTCTATTCCGCAGTCTGTTTGGACTGCCTCTTTGGGCGGGGTAGCTTTTCTCCCCAAGCTGCGAGGGTGAAGTTCTACCGGTCCCAGCAGCGAAGGGGAGGGACCTTCGTCACTGATACCTCTCACCTCGAATCAAAGCATACCAGGGCGAACAAGAGTGGGGTTGCCTTCTGGGACACCCCTTAACCATCCTCAAAAGCAGCTCAGGGGCTATAGATAATAGACACCCGATGACACCCCGCAGTGTGGCCGGGGGCGCCGGCCCCCCACCTCGGACGACCGGATCCCAAACGTTAGGGCTCCTGGCCCACCTCCGGTTCGAAGGGGGTTGGTCCAACCACCGAACCTGAGGAGATGGTTGGAGCCCTAGGGATTAACCATACACTGAAAAACCCACGAAACTAGGTCAAAAGAAAGGTAGAGGCAGAAGTGGTAGAACGTCACTATAGTGAACCTCAGCCACTTTCGACGAACCACCGCAGTCAGAACCGGGCGCGTTCCGATCTCCGAAGTCCGAAAAAACCGCCAGACACGGCACCGTGGCTGCGTGTATGTGCCACGCAAGGCCAGTTGGGTTCGTTTCTTCGTTTACTTCCGTTTCGAAACCGGTGGACTTGGGCAAAGAGGAATTCTTAAGGGTTGTTGTCCACTATGTAACGGTCGATCTCTTCGCACCTGACTATCCATGACTGGAGCCGCCTTCTTCCCCTCCATGACGGACATGCGAAGGCGGTCGACTTGTTTCCAGGCCATTCTGCACTGCAAAGCTGATGAGGCCTTCCTCTTGTCACCATTCAAAACCATGAGATATGATATGACCCCTTTTGCCTAAACAGCAGGTTTGCTTTCAAGGCACACCAGGTTCGTGCCATATGGGGGACATCTAGGGACTCTTGTTTCGGGACATTTTGGGGTGGAGCTTGGGTTAAACCGGTCCATAGAAAAGGGCAGGTGATGCTTCTTCGAGGCCCATAAGCATTGTTTGAGATCCTCCCAGAGATGGGGTCACCAGACCCCGCGATCGATCTTTGAGTGCGCAAGGTGGCAAGAGCCTCCTTGACGAAAGCTCTTCGGGCCACGCAGAAGAATGCAGACCACAGCCTCTTGCTCCTTCGGCGCAAACAAAAAGACAACCATCTTGGCGAGCTTGGGTATGGCTGGGGCCAGGTTGGCTTGTGTCGGGGTCTTGAGTCGAGTTGGTTCTGTTAATTATATTCTGTTTTAATCTGGTAAGGTTAAACAACTTATCCTGGTCAGTTTGGAAGCAAGAAACAGTGATTTTTTTTACCTACTTAATTGAACAGTGTCATTTTCGCACCATCTCCACTGGTTTTGGACCTGGCAATTGCTCAACCGAAATCCCTTGGAGAAGTACTTGTGTGTTCTATATTATTCAATTATCAAAACCGGGTCTCATTCTCCCTTTCCAATACGCCCAAGGGTTGCACACTTCTTCTACACGAGGTTCAGACCCCCTCTGGCTGCACACTCCTTCGTTCACGAACCAGGCTGCCACCCTTCGTCTCCGCCACTGAGCTGCGAGTGCTCTTCAGGCGTGCCGCTTTGGGATCACCGCAGAGGTTGCTCTGATGAAAGGGATGAGCACGTGAAAGCGTGGGACCTTTCGTGGGGGTTTTGCTTCTTGTCTTACTGGTCAGGCCATTTGTTTGGTTAGTTGCATGCTCTCTTTGTTCGGTTTGGTTGTGGGTGTGGGTGTTGCGGATGTTGTGGTTGTTGTGGCTGTGGTGGTTGCGGTTGTTGCGGTTGCGGTTGTTGCGGTTGCGGTTGTTGCGGTTGCGGTTGCGGTTGTGGCTGTCGTTGTGGTTGTTGTGGTTGTTGTGGTTGTGGTGGTTGTGGTGGTTGTGGTGGTTGTTGTGGTTGTGGTTGTGGTTGTGGTTGTGGTTGTGGTTGTTGTTGTTGTTGTTTCTTATTCCTCTTCTTCCTCTTCTTCGTCATCTTCCCACATTTGCCAGAAGTGAATGCTCATGACGTCAAATGGTCTCCCTGCAAAACCAGAGGACGGCCGCTGTGCATATGGCATAGCAGTCCAGCACCAGGCTGGACTATGCCAACACCATGCGCATTTTAGGTGTCCGTGCGGCAGCCCAATAAGAGAAAGGACAGGTCGGTCGTGCGTGCGCCCGGAATCAGAGACTTCATCACAGTGACCGGAATCACTTCATCTTGATTCTTATACGAGGTTTCTCCGCCATTGTATTGGCACACGGATTTTACATACCTCCAAGTCGAAGGAAAACATTACTACAACTCACGACCTGATATACTGTTTGGCCATCCATGAACTTGTTTCCCAGACCATCTAGAACTTGGCATGTGCTGAGCGTTGTGAATATGAGAGACCGAGACCTCATGCTGTATGATGCCTTTCAACTCCTTTAAATGTTGAGACTTCCTTCATCCGTTATATACCGTTGTATATACTTGTCAAGTTTTATTGTACTTGCATGCTTTTACACAAAGTACATTGAGCTCGTAGGAGGTGCGCATGTTGATTTTCTGTTTTGCAGCCACTTGCAGCCACTTGCAGCCACTTACGTCATTTGCTCGCTCTCTGAAGTACATGTTAAACAACATCAAACATCCACCATCCATCATGTCTTCGACCTGAAAAAATGGCGTCACCACGACCCACCCACCCCGACCCTGCCCTACGACCGCTTAGGTTCGATGAACGGGAAGTACTACTGGAAGGACCCGGAACGGGAAAACATCGAGGAGATCGTGTGCAGGATTTGATGATTGCGCTAATTGAGATTCAGTCGATCCATTCACTCAACTTGTGCCACGGGTTTGAAGTCTTTGCCTTTGCCTGTTGATTCACAACCGGCGCCGCTGAAAAGCGGTTTGCGTGGCGTTCCCCAGTGGCGGAGATGGCGGAGATGTTTTGGATGGTTGGTTTAACCCACCGGGTAGGCCGAAAAGCGCGCTTTTCATGTTCTTTTTTTGGGAGTATCCCTACACACACTCCCTCAAACTAACAATCCCTGAACACCGCTGCAGTTGTAAAGTCTTCTTGGCGTCGATGTTCGTGGCCGAAACTTGGTGTGTATCAAGGTAGGAAGACCTAGCTGAGACATCTGAGACCTGCCAGTTCGACCCCATGGAAGAATGAACATACGCCAGTCTACCCAGCCAGGGCCAGGGGGTCTCCCAGCTCGGCGATGGCTCCATCCCGACAGGACTTCCAGAATCGCGAGTTCGAGTCGGCCTCCAAACGGAAGGTGGGGCGGCGTGAAGGTGTACGTCCGGGAGTGGATTTTGGTCATAGAAGCAAACAGAACCTGAGGTTCAGCATTCATTTGTGGGCTCACCGGACAGAGAGTTGTTCTAGGGGGGATGTTACGTTGGAATTCAAGATTGTGCTCTTTTTTGTTTCCTACATGATTGTGCCCTTCCGAGAAAGTGCTGAGAACTGTTCATTTGCAGCCTCTTTTAATTACATAATATGATATAATATGACTGAACATGAATGTAAGCAACAGAGAGATGCCCACATACAGTAGTTGGATTGCCACTTATTTTACTGTATCTCCCTCCTCGACAGATGACTATGACGACGATATTCCTACGACGGGGCAGGTCCTTTTGCCCTTTGACATGGTGGCCTACCCACTGCAGAAGTTCGGCTACCAGTCCATGCTGGCGGCCCGGCAGAAACTTTCCAGAAAGTGGACTCGGACGGCAGTTGAGGCAGTCGAGTATGGGATTTGTCCTACTTGGATTTGTTCGCTGTTTTTGCTCCACCAGCGCATCAAGCAGACTACTCATCACTTAAAGGAATCACGTGTTCTCAAATATATAAGCAATAGCAACTCAGGTTGAGTTGGATTATATATCTTGTTTCCTATTAAATTATCATACTGTTGTACTGGTACTACTTGGGTGCAGTAATTTTTGGGTATGGACTCAACACATGCCTTTCACTGCAAACCAGATTTTGTAGGGTGCTGGTTTTGTCCAACCCCAAAAATATGAGGAAAAACCGTCGCCACCTCGTCCTCTCCTGTTTCCCATCGTTCGGAGAGAGGCGTCGAGAGTCCTAGCAGTTGTCCGGGTGAGAAGATGTGAGACAAAACTTGAAGCCCATAGAGATCCATAGAGAATGTTAGAGAATTAAGTTATATAACATACATAATTTGATGATATTTGAAGTGGGTACTAGTAGTACTAGTGGGTACACCTTAGATAGAACAGATCTACCTGATCTACCACTAAACCATAACATGAATCAGAATGAGGTTTGATCTCAGGTGCAAGCTTCCGCTTCTGCCTGCATGACAATGAATCAACGTCTCCCTGTTCTCGGCCCAGGTGGATGTGGAGCCCGATTGGCCGACGCCTGTGGCAGATCCCAAGGCGATCCCAGTGGTGGTCGTGCCTGGAGCTCAGGATGAACTACTCCACGCAGAACAGCTGAGTCAACTACTCCACGCATGCGGTCGCCAAGAGACACCCTTTTTTGACAATATATGTGTTTTGGCATCTCAAAAGAGGGGTGAGGGAGTTCGTTTTAGGGAGTTAGAGCAATCCCAAAGTGATCAGTGCCGTCTCCCCTTAGATTTATAGAACCATGTAGAACCTCTTCTACCCCACTCGCTCGGATGTCGAACGAAGCCCCGTGTTAAGGCGTGATGAAAAACGAACGCCACTGTAGACACGAAGCCCCTTCTACCAGCTGCACACGGATCAAAATGAGAAAAGCAACCACAAAGATTGTAGAACAAGGGCATTACTACTAGGAGCAATCGGACGCTACTAGGGGCTCCTGGCCGTACTATTAGTAACAAGAAGCTACTAGGGGCTCCTGGCATCGTTACTAGGAGCAAATAGCTACTAGTAACAAGACCGCGGCCAGGACGGGGGTTATTAATCACGATTCGTCCATTCGTCGGTGACCGTTCTCCCGTTCTCCTCCCGGCGAGCTGAATCCGAAGCGTGGCTGGCCGTGATGTGGCCAAAAATTCTGCAGTCAGGACTGATGTGGAGTGCTAACAATTGGACACACACAGCCCATGGAGGATATTGTATTAACCTATAGATTTATTATAGATGCTATATCCATCAGCCCATGGACCTCTGAACCACCACACTCGCTTTCTGGCGCTCCACACCATTGTTTGCTTGCTTGCACCACAACGATCCCGCTTGCGCGGTCTCCCGCGTTCGCCCCTCCCGGGCCCCCTAAGCCTTCGAGGCTCGGTCGGTCGAGACCGCGTCCAGGTTGGGCCACATCAACCACGGGAAGACCACACTACTGGACTCGCTCTGTGGCACGCGGGTGGCTCCAGAGGAGCCGGGCGGCATCACGCAGGAGATGGGTCGACGGGAGGGCGAGGAGGGTCACGGTGGGTGCGGGCACGTTTGGAGAGGGGATGGGGTGAAGTGAAAAAGGGTGAACAAGGCTGGGCGGAATCCGAAAGTGGAATTCGAGTATTTTCCTATTCTCTCTCTCTATATCAAAAGGTCCCATGCTTGGGTCAATTCAATTATCGCCTGATCTTCGGCAGGCCCCATTGAGCAAACACCGCACCGAGTCCCCACCAATATTGGCATGTCTCTGTTCCGTTGGACAATAGATGAAAATAGTGTACTGCAGATCGTTTGCATTGGTTGATCCTTCTTAGCATATTTTCCAGCGTCTTATTTTGGCAAACTATTGTAAACAGCTAGGGAGGGAGGTAGCCGCGTGGGTATCACCTGGGTTTGCAGGCCAATACATATGGTTTGGTCATTATTCCTTCACCATAATCGGTTTGGGAAACTAGAGGTTCTTGACCCACAGCCACATTTGCCTGACTTCCTTCCTTCATGGTCACCACTACCATGGAGAAAGAGTAGCACTCGTGTTGGTCGAGCAAAGACTCAGACGGGGCGTCATGTCCCTTGTTTTGTTTCTGCACAGAGATTGACAAACATTGTCGATTCTTGTTTGGACTTGATAGCCATAGATCAAGAAGGCCACTGGGCCCCAAATCAAGGTCGTCCTTTATGTGGAAATCACTTTGTGCAGATTGCAAAAGGTTTAAAATATCAATCCTTAACCCTCCGTTAGGGTCCAGGATGAGTGACCTCCTTTTCTGCTGGGTGGCTGAGCTCATTGACCCTTGCAACCCGCCTTATGATTTGTTCGACTTGAGACACACTCAAAAAACTCAAAAGACTGGACTCTAGGCTGACAAAGTTGGTCATGTCCATGTCAACCACCCATCTCCGTCCAACTCAACTGGCCCATGAACTGGGATTTGATTGCGCATAAAATTAGAAGTCCAATGATACGTAATATGCTGAACTTACAGGGTAACTACCTCAGCTCATAGCTCAACATAGCTCACCTCATCCTCCCCCAGCCTCACCCGCCCTCGCAGGACGTTCGCGCCATGACAGGCCAAGTGCTCGGGGACGAGATGGAACTGCACCTCCCAGGCGGTCGGCCGGGCTGGGCCTGCAGAATCCCGGAGGTCTGGAGAGAACGCACCTTGGATAGATACTATCTAGATGATGACATGTAGATACTGCCCAACCTTGTAGTTGGCACCAACTGGAGCTTGGCGCTGTTGGCCATCAGGCTTCTCATCAGTGACCTCACTGATGGATGTGATGTGGGGCTGTCATTCGGTTGGTCATTCGGTTGGCCCAACGCCACCGGAGACCGGTCTGCCGGGGTCAGGTGCCGCAACGAAGGAGGCGTGGCTGCCGGACATGGCGGCGTGGCTGACGCCATCGGAGAGTAGGTTGGATGCCACTTCAGAGGTGACCAGACCGAGGTTGATCGAAGGGTCTGTGTGGTCGGGATGTCGGATCCGAGACATAGACGATGACCGACATAGACCGGCACACACGACGTTTTTGGTGTTCTTTGTAAGACGTTTTTGACCCCCCCCTGACGATGCATGTTCCATCTATATGAGGCAACCTCAAAATTATCATCAACCACTTTAGTAAGGGACGTTTCATCTCTGTGTTGCTTTCGTGATTTTCCTTGAAAAACGATAGGGGACTGACAAAAAACGATACCCGTATGTATACATACTTGCAAAATCCAAAACCATGGAAAACGATAGGGGACTGACAAAAGTGAAACGAAAACACTCCAAGCATATATTTTTGACGCTAACTCATATGCTTTGAATGGTGCTGGTAGACCACTGTGTTTCTTTTTTGTGTGTGAGAGAATGTTTCGTTTCCACATGGCGGTACGTGGAACCCACATGTTTTCTACATGTTTGCTTGGTGCTTGGGGGGGACGTTTTCAGGGCGCTTTTGTCACCGGTCCGCCGGCCTTGCTTGGACATGCCCTGCTTGGGCATCAATGTGTCGTGGATGTTTCGTAGATGCGTCGGACATCCCAAGTCTCGACCTTTCGTGCTGCTACTCGGGCTACTCGTCTCTCGCTGCTGTTGGCTCCAGTGTCTTATTTGTGGCAAACATTGCAGAAGACTTTTACTGACAATGGATGCCTTTCCACCCGTCTTCTTTGGACTCTTGGCAGGGACGCACGGACCCGGACCGGGAAAACGGTCGCGTTCCACTCGGGCCGAAGTGACCGGTCGTGGACCGAGGATGGGACCGAGCTTCAGCAACATTTGGAGGAAAGGTCGACGACTTTAAATACTTTCACAGACCAGTTTGCCGGATTTGGTAGACTCCATTGGGAGAGGTGCAAGGGAACCCTCTTCGTCCTCCAAACAGAGGGCCATGTTCCAAAGCCTCCCTGAAAGTACTTCCCCTGGCCCGACATTTGCTTGGTTTTTTCAAAGGACAAAGAACACAGATAAACGCGAAAACGGCGTCCCAAAGCATTCTGTCACTATGACGAGTCAAAGTCAATACTTCCCCCACCAAACATGGTAGGTTGACTCCCTTGTAGAGGAATCTGTTCATTTGACGCCTCAATAACTGGGGTGCCCAGGCTTTGACCCAGGTTTTGACCCAGAGCCATTTGAGGACTTGACAGGGAGGATGACATCAAGGCACCTCTCGCGCTGAGAGTCTGAGCGGGCTGCGGCGCCTGCAACCCTCGGCCTATATTTTTCCCCCCCAAACAGTGTGGACACACTGGGGTTCTTACGGTAGGTGTTAAGCAACTGATGCTTAGATCGCTGAAGCGCGCGGGCGTGTGCGGCTAGTTCGCTGCTATTTACAGTGCATTCATGCCTCTCGACATCGTCAATGTGCATTTCGACTGCGCAGGCTCACAAAATCTGCCTGCCCGCGGCGGGTGCTTCTAGCGACTGCGCTCTCGTTGTGGTGCCGTGGGCATTTTCGCACATGGTGGTCACCTTTCGTGGCAGGGGCAAAGGAAACCTCGTGTTTTGGTGCTCCAAAGTCGACTTTTCGTGACAGGTGCAAGGGATCGGAGCTGTTTTACTTCGAAGTTCAGTTTTCGTGGCAGGTGCAGCACTTTGCATGGACATGATGGTGATCGTCGAGGAGCTCAGATTTCGTGACAGGTGCAGTGAATCGTGACTTTTGGACATGTGGCTCGTTTGCAGATTTCGTGGCAGGCACAGCACTCTGTGATCCTCGGTGTGCAGATTTCGTGGCATGCACAGCACTTTGTGAACCTCGAAGTGCAGATTTCGTCGCATGCACAGCACTTTGTGAACCTCGAAGTGCAGATTTCGTCACTTGGTGAACCTCGAAGTGCAGATTTCGTGGCAGGCACAGCACTTGGTGAACCTCGAAGTGCAGATTTCGGAGCAGGCGCAGCACTTTGTACTCACTCACTCACCACCACCGCCACCGTCACCACGATCCCCACCTTCATCACCACCATCGCCCCTCTGGACCCCAATGCGTCTAGATCTCTAGACTTTCTTCTTATAGCCGGGATAACTTTTGAGGGGTCAGGACGCCTGGGAGGTCTCCCTATTGAAATAAACACGCAAATGTGATCCAGCAATCTAGAAAGGTTGAACACAAAATGCCTTGCTTGAACACCGACACTGTCCTGTCCCTGTGGGCCAGCTGGATCGAGTCAAGGTCACATTGAGTCACCAGCACCGGACTGACGCTGTTCTGAATCTGAAGTGGCCTCAAACATACAGTCTTGATAACAGTTGAAAACTGTTTTAGTATTGGGCACATTGCCCTACTTTTTTAGAAGTACATGGATTGGAACTTGTATTAGCAAGGCATCCAATGGTAAACATTTTTCAATTATTCAGGAAAACGCACAGAAAAGAACCAGTAATCTACAAAGAAGGAATCCAGCACACAGTGGTGTGGTGGGGGTTGTTTTTGTGTGTGGGCTCTTGAGCTGAAGTAGCACACTGCTGTCACACAGGGTTGACTGTTGTTGCCAATTCTTCAAGGCTCGGCTCAAGGGATATATTCGTGCTTCGCGTGTAAACCACACTGCTTGCCTGCGCTCCACAGGGCGTACGCGGTAGTCCCTTTCCAACAGATTTTACCTATTGCATTGAATAGAAATCTCTTCATAAGAAAGAAATAAAGAGAAAAAGATCCTAAAGGGAAAAAGATTAAGATCAGAGAGTGACGGACCCATCCAAAAACCATTAAACTAATATAGTTGTTTTTGGTCATCTATCTCTGCTATTTATTCTGTTTTGGATGTCTCTTCACACAAAAGGAAATCACCCATCAAAATATCAGATAATAATATAGAATAAAGTGACAATAGATTTCATATTCAGTTTCTACCGGATGCACCATCTATTTCTATTTTACAAGAGCTCTCTATATTTATTTTGGTTTTCATCTCGGATAAAATATTTGTCAGTGGTAGCGGAGCAGTGATCCTAGAAGACCCAGGTGACCTCCAGGTCCTAGCTGTAGATTGAGCAATGGCCTGGACAGATGACTGGGATGCGGATATGGCATAAGGCTTACGAGCTTGTTTTTGCCAATAGGCATGTGAGACCAGAACCAGCAGCAATAGCTACGACAACTCAAGTGACGACTAAGGCTAAGGTGCCTCCAGCATATGATGGAAAACAGTCAAGGCTTTCTTATGATGATGCCGCTGATGACTGTTGTGACATTACAGAGTCAGAAGAAGAGATAAGGGGACCTGCATTGAGGAATCGATCAGAAGGTTTTTGCAGACGAAGTCATGCAGGCTGAGCACCTGATGAACCAAATGTCAGTCCACATCCTGGAATGACCGCCCAGTTGCAACAGACAGCTACAGACTTCGCAAGAGCACTCAAGCATTAGTTCGCCCATGAGCTAGGCAGCGTGAGAGTGGAATCGCAAGAAGAAGCACGGGTCTGACAACGCATTCAAATTAATACAATAAAATTGTCTATGAGCAAATCATCAGGGCAACAAGTGTCAGCCAAGACTACACACAAGCCATGAATGAGAAGACTCAGTGGGTGGGCCAGGGTGTTATCGGGAATGGGCTGATAGCATACAGGGCCACTTCGTCAGGGCAGTTCCAAGACAGAGGAAAAGATTATCAGATGGAGCAACAGAGATTTCCAGATGAGTGGCTTCAGCGCGGATATGCCTGGTTTCAACCTTCAAACGATGTAGCGCAGACCTCATTGAGTGGAGCAATGCCACTCCACAAAAAGCAGCTAGAGTAGCACCATGATGAGGAGGAAGTTTTGGCCATCAAGACCGCGCATAAAACCTTTTTTTTCCAGCTGTCGCCACAGCTTGGAAGAAGCTCAAACAGAAGAGCCACGCTAGGTGTAACGTACAGCAGCCTTTTGCAAGAGCAGCAAGAAGTGAGGACTCAATCACGGAGGCCAAGTCTAAGGAGAGCAGCAAAAAGGTTTTAAGGCAAGAAGCGTCTCAGCAGCGTGAGCAGTAGGGTGGCATTGAATGAAGTGGTTCGTAAGGCCAACAGAAGAAGCTAGGCAAAAGGATCTTGGCAAAGGCAATCAAGAAAGGGTGAAAAACAAACCAAGCCTGAAGTTCGACCCATCTATGAAATCCACGGTTAGACCATGAAGGCAAGGAAGACCATTAAGCAATGAAAAAGACGTTGAAGAAAGCGCCCCCTTCCACCACCCAGTGAGCCACCATCAAATGAGGAGGTTAAGGCGAGGCAGAGGTGGGGAGCCACGTGAGAGTGATAGGACTGATAGGAGAGATGGCTGATAGCTGTCATGAAGAACTATGGCAAGACAGCATCACTGCCGCCCAGGATTGCAATGCAACACCACAAAGTGGCACTATCTCTGCAAACGGCTGCAAACGTCAGCAACATAGCTATTGAGAACCCCGAATGGAAGCCCTAAGTCAACTACAAGAACTTCAGCTACGTGACAAGGAAACAGCTTCGGCAAATCCTAGAAGCATCAGGTTGGCCATGGGTAGATGACCGCCACCCACCATGCAAGAACAGCTCAAGAACCCAGACCATGTCCAGCTGCTGGATCCAGAGCCAGATTTAGAGAGCTGCACGCCCACATCCCGAGTTTGGCGTCAGCTTTTTGATCACATACAGGCAGCAGGGCCCAAGCAGTGGACCCTTGTGGTAAGAGAAAAAATGTGGGTCTTTGACAATCTCCAGAAAAAGCACTGGGCATGTTTTGAGGCAGCGCAGAAACTGATGAGTTTGCTTAAAGAGAAGGGTTTTGCACAGCCACCAAGTGCAGTAGCATCAATCAAAAAAGATCCATATCGGTTTCTTTGTTCTTGCATTTCAGGGGCAGAATCCCAGCAAGGCTGGAAGGTCAGATTGGAAAAGTTCGGGCAACTGGGGGCAA